ATACAAATTTGATCTTTATTTATTTTAGTGAATGAAAATCATTTTGTGTCATGTGAAATTTTCTCATTTTTTTTGTCCCACACTGTATATTATACAACCTAATGAAACTTTTTATCTCAATCTCTATCAATAGTCAATTTATTCAAGGAATATTTTAATAATACTAAATATATCAAATTTTCATCTCATCGAAAATCAAAAAACGTTCAGAGACAATTACCAACAATAGTGATGAAGAGTGAGAATTCAATAGTCAAAGTACTACTACAACTACCTCAATCTCGTACTCATGGATAATGGCAAAATGTGTAGTATGGTCTTAATCATCTCGCTCATAAACATAAGATGTTCAAAAATAATTCTTCTGGACCTAAAAATATTAATTTTTTAAGTCGTGATTAATAAAATGATTAATAGAATTTTTAAAAATTTTATTATCGTAACTCGAGTAAACTCGAAAATTAACTTAATTACAAGGTTAGAGTACTCTTCTGAGTTTAATTCACAGGTCATGTGTACCAACAAAAATTTGAAACATAGGGTGTGACACGGAGTCACAGGACAGCCGATAAATATCCAGTCTCGTGACTTTACAATCATTGGATTACACAAAAAGTTTGTTTATTAATTAAATGGGAAAATTATTCTTTACAGTGGACATTAGTGTTTTGGGCGAAACCATTTTCTCAAATCCGAAACTTTCGTCAAGTTAACAACTTTCAGTTTCGCTTCTTATATCCAAAACTATCCATACCTTAATTTGGAAACATTTTGTAGATCAAATTGGGAGAAACTAGTTTCGCCAGAAACATTAATGGATATTATGTCTGATGAAACTTCTTTGACTATTGGTAATATAAATTTCAGAGACAAAAGAAAACGAGAGGTCGTTAACTATATATGGCTTCATTTTATCAGAAACAATACTGAGACTCCTGGAAAGTTTGGAGCTGAGTGCAAATATTGTTCCTCAAAGTGGAAAATAAAGAAATGCCTATATTAGAAGAATAGTAAGCAAGCCAATGTCCAAACGTTTCAGTTCTTATTTTCGTGAGTACATGCAGAAAGTTTCATCATGTGAAAGTATTGCAAAAAAAAGAAATCTAGATAGTGGGAAAACCACATGTGGCAAGAATTAGTAGAATAAATCATGCTTTAGGAAAGTTTTTTGTTGCTTGTGGCCGTTCTTTATAGATTTGTTAAAGAACTTAATGCTGGTTATAATCCTCCAACACATGAATATTTATCTGATCGTATTGTGGAACGTAGAAAGATCCAATCAGCGGATAAAATTTACACTTTGCGTAGACATATGGGGCCTTTGCAACAGAAGGGGGGAAAATTAAAAAATGAGTTAAAGTAAAATTGATTTTTTCTGGCAGTTTCCCCCCTTTCTATTGCAAAGACCCCATATCGTTCTCCAGACTAATAAAAATGTAGACAATGATAAAACAATAATTCTAATTTGACACTTGACTTGGTAAGTAAATTTTATAAAAATTATTGATTTGTATATATATTTTTTTAATTTTTCAAATTTCATAGCTTTGGATGAATAGACTTCAGGACGTCATCAGTCCGTTTGGAATTTTATAATCCTTACCAGACCAGATGGATTACTTCAAGCAAATCAGTTAATTCTGTAATCAATTTTAGAAAAGGTAATATAAAATATTATTTGAAAAACTAGTTTTGATTATTAAAGCTTATTAAATCATTTTTTATATTTTTGATGGTATCTAAAAATGCAGAAATAATGTCGTAATTTAGAAATGTTGCATTTGTATTAAATCCAATAAGGAAGGCTGTTATTTCTTTAGAAGCTCATATGGCAACCTTAGCTAATTGTTATATGGGAACGTTGCCAGTAAAATCAAGTCGTAAATCATATGATCCATAATGTGATTTTACTGGTAACGCTCCATATGCATCTGATTCAGCTTGGCGATGAACTACACAAAGTATTAATCATGAGTTTCGTAATCATTGCTATACTGTGATGAATATTTGATTTCAAGAATTTGAGGATGATAAATATCTTTGTTTTTTTTGCATCCTGAATATCAAGGTATTTTAAAATTAAATATTTTAATTCTTATATAATCAATATAAATTAATTTATATTTTATTTATTACCGATTTCTTTAAAAAGTAGTGCCTATCCAAAAGCTTTAAAAGCAGCAATAACAATTGGAAAAAATTTAGGTTTCGATTTAGAATATTTACGCGTTTTATGCTTATACCATACCATTGAATATGGATTTGAAGAACTATATAATTGGTGGAACTTAATTGATTCTTCACCAAATCCGAATTCTTTATCTCAAATTGCTCAGCATCCAAATTCAGCCTCGTGTGAAAGATGATTTTCCAATCTTGGTTGCTTTCAAATAAACGGTGTTTATCGCTATTTTCAAAATAATGCAATTTCTAAAAATAAATGATGATCACAAAAAAAATAATTCGAACTCCTGAAA